AAGAAGGAGCTCTGTAGTGACAGTATCTACCTTCTCTGCACGTGTAATTTTCCCTCATTCGGACGTTGCTGTTTTGCCGAGCCAAGACCACCTAACCGGTCGCTGCACGCAGATTTTCACCTACTGCACACTCATGTATATGTCCACCTCTCTCTTCGCTCTACAAATCACATCAATACAACCGTCGTTGAGATCTCGTGAAATCGGTCGTTCTCTCTTGGCTCATTCCTTCGTCCGTTGCTCGTTGTGCGTATTTTGTGCACATCATTAGTCTAGACACTGAAGACGTGATGAAAGAAAACGGGTTATATTAATCACATGGGACTCACCAGTTAATCAATTAGCACGGGCTGAGCAGTGAACAGTAGTAAAACCCGAGCCCGAGGACCATGACATGGGGAGAACCAGCTGACACGTTTATGTGGATCTGAAATGTGAGGCTTTACAGGGTGCAGGCGTACGGCAGAACTCACCGGAAGTTGTGTCAAATCCGAGGTCGTATGATAACTCGTGATAGTTGGTAATAAAACAAAATAGAGCCTTCACATGAAAAAGGGAATGGCTTTTTAAAGGAAAAATAGTGTTACTGCAGTCTACTAACAGAATACCGCAGATTGTAATTCAGGAAAAAAGTGGAACTTCACAGTCGAGCACGGAGCAGAAGTACGTGACCGCGAAATCTTACAAACGAATGGCAATTTTAACTCGCGGCAAAATATTGGCCAAGCTCAACGCCACTCAGTGACTCTGACATCATTTGAAATGAATTTTTCACATTTGGAGATAATGAGACTTAATGAAAACTTGCGGTAAATATTTATGCCTTTTTTCATCCGTGAAATGAATCCAAAACCTGAATTATGTTTGCATTAGGATAAATAGGCCGTAAGACGAGAATAAATCGTTCGCTCAGTCCGTCAATAAGCATCACAATAGAAGGTCTAAGTTGCATTCAGTCAACTGTGTTGACAAGTGAACCTTTCCAATAATATACACAATAAGAATACCTCTGACAAGCAAACAAAGGCACTTATGAAATAAGGCGTTATATGCCCAGCAAAGTCCATGAGTTATTTTACTGATTTGATTAGAAACGTATGGGGACCATGATTTTTCTTTGGTCTGAAAAGTCCAGCGTTATGAAATATAATGGAGTAGAACGACAAATAGTTATGTAAATTAATTACCAAGGGGAGCGAACTGTGACAATATCCCATAGTCCGTGCGAGCTGTATTCCAGGAGTGAACACACGCTTCGCGCTCGTTTGCCGGCGAATTGGTCACTCGCCTAAGCGGATTTGAACCAAACAAGTCAAATAACTGAAAAATGTGATTTCTAGCTGCCACAGTATTTGAAATCGTGTGATACTGGCTATCTGAACGATCAGGAAAAAAGACATGTACTTATCACCTTTGTGTGTCTTCACCACATTGATGTTCTGCACCACGTCTAGTACACCCAATAATGCTACCCTCTCCCAAACTTGAGGTTGTCAGTGTGACCTAATCCGGATTGATGTTTCTGGCTATATGGGATTGCTGTTCTACGTCACCACGGCAATTAGTCACCCAAACTATATATCATTCAACTTCTACATTGCCAAATGTTATACGGAACTTATCCTTCCAATCAGTGCTACTCTTGTGTGCGATAAACAACGGATGGAATGAACCCTACAGTCATATAGTAGCCGCGATGAATACGCACTCATGTGATGCAGTGGTAACGGTGGCCTGTTAGCGGGTGAAGGCAAATTCGTTTTTGTTGCTAACTGGTCACCACCATATTGAACACTGCGGTGGTCCTCACATGCGCAATTCTTTGTCGGTAAGCTACGCCCACTATCCTTTCAGACATACCAACTGAGACATTTTACAGTGAAACAATCTGCCATGTAGTGTTTATTTTGTCTAAAATTGCACTATACCTGGCACACTTTGCTCTTTGTTAGTGATTCTGCCTGGTTCACTTAACAAAGGAATCCATGACTGTTCGCCGTGGATTGACAAGGATAATTACTGTTCCTTCTACCTCCGTGAACACAATTCACGGCATCATTATATCTTCAGGGAACCTCCCATGACAGTTTTCTCTACAAAGTATTCACCAACCACGGTTCTCAGCACTACCGGAACAAATCGATTCTAATACGCATTGCGTAGAAACGTCTAACGCAATTCAACAGTACCTTATTTTGCCTACATTCTGACTGGCAATGCCAGACGCGAAACAACTGCAAATCTACCGAAAATAAACCTGTTTCGTTCCTTTTTCATCGTTGTTCTGCATATGATACTTTCACCACTTTGCTTCAGTACAAAGATGAACAGTTTCTGACTGAAATGTAGACATAAATACTGACATACATTATCACAATTAAATAGAATTTCCCGGTAAAAGCATGCGTAGAAAACAAGCCTTGGTCCGTACTATGGATACAGATTCACTTTAAGACAGGGTTGTATTTTCTGAGAACACACAATATCACCTCATGATGGACGGGTACCAACGAACCATTGGACGAGTTGGAACCCCAATAAAAAAATCACGTGATCACAAACAGCAAATTTTAATTTATACGAGAAAAGCATAACATTATTGGCAAACCAGGGTGGGAAGTAGAACGCACGGAAACAATCAGAGGAATGTCATTCACGATGTTTGATCTGTGATGTACGGTATCTTCATCGACCGAAGCTTATTTGTTACAATCGACATGATGCACTTGTGTACCTCGTCCACCGATTTGTTTGTGGCCTGCACAAAGTGCCACTCAGGCTGATCCGAGTCCAGGGCAGCTTCTGTGTTACTCTTGGCCTCCTCGGCCAGGCGTAAATAGTTCTCCATAACCCGGTGCTGAAAATCGTCCGTCTCATAACGCTCTTCACCGTACCCAGAGCGATGATGCAGATCCTCGATTTCGTCCGGGGTCAAACAGATTACGACATCCGGTTCAGCGAGACCTTTTTCCATGCGGCAGCACCAATGCCAATCTGGAGTCGGACTTGGCTTAGCCGTAGTGTACGCGATCCCTGAGTAGGAGTATCGATCGGCCACGACGAAAT